TTTTGTCATCGTTGTTGAAAATCTAAGATCAGTATTTTCCCATCTCCTTAGATCCTAGAGGACCTGGTTGGATCTGTGATGTTTCTAGATCTTGCCACGCCTCAGGGTCTTTATTTTGAACACTGTAACACTTTGTGGTACTAGAGAGATAGAAAGCAGGCGATTAGGAAGAATTTTATATTGATCCCAGGAAATAATGCACGTTTCTTTTTCTGTCTCTTATTTGGAAAAGTTGAGCTCTGGTTAGCCGCAGGTTCTGACTAGTTTAGTTCGCGCAGTGTTACTTGTATATTGCTTAACCAGCCCCAAGAAGAACATTAGCAAATCCGTGAGGTATAACCTTGTTTGTATTTCAGTAGTCGACACTAAATGTTTGTCTCCTAAGCGACAGGTTCTATACCGTGATAAAACCATTTCTGACTCTACTAGATGAAACGTTTTGGTTTCCACGAGGCTTGATTTGTTCTGCAAAATTAGTCGGTATAAGATACAACTACAGCCATTGATGAAGACAAGAGTTTACCAGAGAAAACTTGATAATCATGGATAAAAGCTTATGTAATAAAAGTTTATTGATAAATTTGCTAGTGTTTTTTGTTGTTGTTGTTGTTGTTGTTAGAACAATGAGGCCTTTTATTTAGATAATGTAAAACGAATCTACTTTGTTTTACTCGGTTCGGATTTTTTTGTAACGGCTGAGGAAGCAGAAACAGTATTTACTGAGTACCTGTTTTTCATGATCTCATATAATTCTCACAACTGTGTATCTTTAATTTTTTTCAATTTTTCCCCCGAACGAGAATACTTACAACAGATGCAAATCCTTTGCTTATTTGACCTAGTTTATCAGCAGATAGTATTTTTACAATGCAGAAAGTTTTTTTAAGGGTTTTTTAAAAATTAATTTCAAGTATACAGTACATTGGTTAGATATTTATACAGTTTATAAAACGATGCCCCCTAATTGTTCCTTCTCTCCTCTGATTCTGCACCTAGCCAATATCGTAATGCTGACTGTGTTCCCCATGCCGTGCTCCCCGTCCCTGTGACCATCCATCAACTACAAATCTGTACTTTTTTAATCCCTCACCCCATTCTCCCAGCCCCCCAAACCCCCATCCCCTCTGTCCGTCACCAGATTGTCCTCTATATTTATGAGTCAGTTTTCGATTAGTTTTTTCTTTTTGTTCCTCAGATTCCGCATATAAGCACTCGCAACTCCTTTGAGATAGGTATTGCTCTCCCCACTTTCCCCCGAGGGACCAAGGCTCCGTGAGGTGCTTTGTCGCTCGAGATCACCCAGTTCAGAAAGACCTAGTTACACGCCGTTCTAACCCCAAAGACCACGCTCTTTCCAGCACCTAGCACGTGACCGCCTTCATTGAGAAACATTTCGGCTTGGTATGATTTTCAAAATATCTTTCCTAGACCGACAGCCCAGGGAGGCCACGTACTCGGCCAGAACGTGGGGGTGTCCGCGATCCGGACCAGGATCCAGTGCTGAGTCGATTGTGTTTAGTGCTTTTAAATCGATCACCTGCCATCTCTCCTCTCTCGTCAGCTGCCAAAGAGAACATCCTTATAATCCATCTTTCATACCCCCTCGTGCATTCTCCGATTTTATGCACCGCTGTGGTGCTGGGCTGTGTAATTAAGAGGGAGGCATTCCATTAATGGCCCGTGTTTACACTCCGATCCCCTGGACATTTGTTAATTCAGTCTTACGATTTTTAAGGTGTGTGAATAAACAAAGGCTTCGCGTAAGACAATATTACAGCGTCGTGGTTTTTTTTTTGTTTTGTTTTTAACTTTTTTTCAAAGGGAAGGGGCCCTGGCCACTCATGGATCTGGCAGAAGGCGACCCCCTTCGTGAAACACGTGAACGAATGATTCGTAACCCCGCCTTCTTTCCTTTGTCCACACCGCCAGGCGACCGATATTCCAGAGTGGTGTTCACCTCGGCTGGAGGGGAGACACTGTGGAACTTGCCGGCCATTAAATCCATGTGCAATATAGACGACTCGAGGGTACGTAAGGCGAAACCGAAGCCTGCGTGGCACATTCTGCTCAGCCCGGAGTCTGAGCAGACGCCGCCGCCGACGTGGCTCGCCGACCGAGGGGTCAGCGCCGGCGGGCCGGCCTTTGCAGCCCTTTACGTCCAGGATCGCAGTGTCTGTGCTTCCCCACCTGTAGAACCTACCGTCTTTCTGAGTAAAGCAGCTTCTCCTTCAGCACTGCCGTTCTGTTCGCGATAGTCTTTTGTAGTCTTTCCCATTATATGTCCTTTCTGGATAATAGGGTAAGACGTTTTTGTGTCTTCTTTTGTTGTATTTTCTCTTTCCTGATCGATTTTCATTGTTCACTACATGTGCCCCTGAGGCAACTGTCAGCATCTCAATTAGGCACTGAAATGCCTGCCTCCCTAGCGATCGATCGGTGGGTCCTTTGGGCCTTTGACCTCAACGGAAAATCGAGGGCACAGGCTGGGGAAGGCGACATCGCGGGGCACAGAGACAGCGTCTGTGTAAGTGGCCAGACTGACCCAGCCCAGACTGCCCAGGACTCCACACAGCCTGCTGCTGTGGGAGACGGAGGGACACAAGCCGGGCACTTCCTCCCTCAGCCTCTCCGGAGCCACAGAGCCGTCGGCGCCGCTGGGCGTGGAGGAGCTGTCCGTGTGCTGGGGCGGCTTCTCCAAGCAGAAGCTGCGGTCCGATGTCACCAGTGGACCTGTCCAGGCCACCGCGACCAGGCAGAAAAGGAACTCATCGCGTTCGTGGCATAACTTTAAGGTGTAAAATCACTGGTTCGTTGAAAACCTAGTCACACGCAGTGCTCAGAGCGAGCGTGGCCATCCGGTGCAGTCGCCTGTTCTCATGACAGCGTTTCTTACCGAAGTCGGAGGTAGAAAGGACCCCGAGGTCTCACTGTGCCGATATAAGTCCCCTCCGAGAACTAAGCGGCTTTCCCAGGTCACCTAGCTAGCTGGTCCCAGGTCACCTGGCTTTGTTCTTCACTCTGCGAGGGTCGGTTGAAGCTGTTTCCCACTTAGGTCTCGTCCCCAGACAGTGGTACTGTGCCACGTAGGAGCTTTGCGGTCGACCTCACCCCGTTCTCAAGCGATCGCTAACTTCGGGAACCCTCCCGGCCCCGCGAGGCCACCTCGAGTCAGCCCTCTGAGTGAAACGCGCTTTAAACGCCATTCCTTCCGCGTGTCTCTGTCTCTGCAGATCAGGTCTCACCCCCAGTTTGGCAGCCTCTGCCAGCGGACCACCGCGGCCTCCTGCTGCCCCAGCTGGACCCTGGGGAACTACATCGCCATCCTGAACAATCGATCGTCCTGCCAGAAGATCGTCGAGCGAGACGTGTCTCATACCCTGAAGCTGCTCCGGACCTGTGCCAAATACTACCAGAACGGCACTCTGGGGCCGGACTGCTGGGACATGGCGGCCAGGAGGAAGGACCAGCTCAAGTGCACCAGCGTGCCGCGCAAGTGCACCAAGCACAACGCCGTGTACCAGATCCTGCACTACCTGGTCGACAAGGACTTCCTGAGCCCGAGGGCGGCCGACGCCGCCGCGCCGGCGCTGAGGTACAGTATGCTTTTCTCTCCCACCGAGAAGGGGGAGAGCATGATGGACATTTACCTGGACAACTTCGAGCGCTGGAACTCTTCCGACGGCGTCACCACCGTCGCCGGGATCGAGTTCGGCATCAAACACAGCTTGTTTCAGGATTACCTCCTGACGGATACGGCGTACCCCGCCATCGCCATCGTGATCGTCCTTCTGGTCATGTGCGTCTACACCAAGTCCATGTTCATCACGCTCATGACCATGTTCGCGATCATCAGCTCCTTGATCGTCTCCTACTTTCTCTATCGCGTGGTCTTTAACTTCGAATTCTTCCCCTTCATGAACCTCACCGCGCTCATCATTCTGGTCGGCATCGGCGCGGACGACGCCTTCGTCCTGTGCGACGTCTGGAACCACACCAAGTTCGACAAGCCCCGCGCCGAGACCGCCGAAACCGTGAGCGTCACCTTGCAACACGCGGCCCTGTCCATGTTCGTCACCAGTTTCACCACGGCCGCCGCCTTTTACGCGAACTACGTCAGCAACATCACCGCCATCAGGTGCTTCGGCGTGTATGCGGGGACGGCTATATTGGTGAATTACGTCCTCATGGTCACCTGGCTCCCGGCGGTCGTGGTGCTTCATGAGCGCTACCTTCTCAATCTGTTCACTTGCTTCAGAAGGCCCCAGCAGCAGCTCTACAGGAACAAGGCCTGCTGGACGGTCGCCTGCCAGAAGTGCCGCAAAGTGCTGTTCGCCATTTCGGAGGCGTCTCGCATCTTTTTCGAAAAAGTGCTGCCGTGCATCGTCATCAAGTTCCGCTACCTCTGGCTGTGCTGGTTCCTCGCCTTGACCGTGGGCGGGGCCTACATCGTGTGCGTCAATCCCAGGATGAAGCTGCCCTCGCTGGAGCTGTCCGAGTTCCAGGTGTTCAGAGCGTCTCACCCCTTCGAACGGTACGACGCCGAGTACAAAAAGCTCTTCATGTTCGAACGCGTCCGCCACGGAGAGGAGCTGCACATGCCCATCACGGTGATCTGGGGCGTGTCCCCAGAAGACAACGGCAATCCGCTGAACCCCAAGAGTAAAGGGAAGCTGACGTTAGACAGCAGTTTCAACGTCGCCAGCCCGGCTTCCCAGGTCTGGATTCTGCACTTCTGCCAAAAGCTGAGAAATCAGACGTTCTTCCTCCAGACGGAGGAGCAGGACTTCACCAGCTGCTTCATCGAGACGTTCAAACGGTGGATGGAGAACCAGGACTGCGACGAGCCCGCGCTCTACCCGTGCTGTAGCCGCTGGAGCTTCCCCTACAAGCAGGAGATCTTCGAGCTGTGCATCAAGAGAGCCATCATGGAGCTGGAGAGGAGCACGGGGTACCATCTGGACAGCAAAACCCCAGGGCCGAGATTCGACATCAATGACACCATCAGGGCGGTGGTCCTGGAGTTCCAGAGCACCTACCTGTTCACGCTGGCCTACGAGAAGATGCACGAGTTCTACAGGGAGGTGGACTCGTGGGTGTCCAGGGAGCTGAGGTCCGCGCCCGAGGGGCTCGGCAGCGGCTGGTTCGTCAGCAGCCTGGAGTTCTACGACCTGCAGGACAGCCTCTCCGACGGCACCCTCGTCGCCATGGGGCTGTCCGTGGCCGTGGCCTTCAGCGTGATGCTGCTCACCACCTGGAACGTCATCATCAGCCTCTACGCCATCATCTCCATAGCCGGGACGATATTCGTGACGGTCGGTTCTCTCGTCCTGCTGGGCTGGGAGCTAAACGTCTTGGAGTCCGTCACCATTTCCGTCGCGGTGGGCCTGTCCGTGGACTTCGCCGTCCACTACGGGGTCGCCTACCGCCTGGCCCCGGACGCCGACCGAGAAGGGAAGGTGATCTTCTCCCTGAGTCGCATGGGCTCTGCCATCGCCATGGCCGCCCTGACCACCTTCGTGGCCGGTGCCATGATGATGCCGTCCACGGTCCTGGCGTACACGCAGCTGGGCACCTTCATGATGCTCATCATGTGTGTCAGCTGGGCCTTCGCCACCTTCTTTTTCCAGTGCGTGTGTCGGTGGCTCGGGCCGCAGGGCGCCTGCGGTCAGATCCCTCTACCTAAGAAGCTCCAGTGCAGTGCCTTCTCCCACGCCTTGTCTGCCGGTCCCGGGGACAAGGGACCGAGCAAAACGCCTCCCCTGAACGCTTATCACTTAGACCCCAGGGGCCAGAAATCTGAAATGGAGCATGAGTTTTACGAATTGGAGCCTCTGGCTTCCCGCAGCTGTGCAGCCTCCGAGAAGGCCGCTTACAAAGAGACCCACCTGTGCTCTGAGTTTTTCAACAGCCCGGCGAAGAATGTCGTGATGCCCGTGCCTGCGGCGTACAGCGGCGAGCTCGGCAAAGGCGCCCAAGACGACCCCAGCTCGGCCTTGTTACAGCCCTCTCTTGACCAGGACACTATGTGTCACCTCTTCTCTCTGAATCAGAGATGTAGCTGCCCAAACGCCTACAGACGTTTGAGATACGGCCCACACTCTTGCCAGCAGATGGCTGACCGCGTGTGCCACCAGTGTCCCCCTACCACCAGCAGCTTTGTGCATGTCCACAACGGCGTGACCCCTCTGAAGGCAGCTCGCCACGCCCCCGAGGGCTTCGCGCACCCCATCCCGCACATCCAGCACTGCGCGTGCCGACGGGGCGGAGCGAAGCCCCCTGCGGTGCAGAATTCTCTGCCCAGGAGCTTTTTCCTACCCCCGGCGCAGCACGCGCAGGCCCAAGCGAGAGCCGGTCCGGCCAGCGCAGGGCCATCGGCGTTTGCCTGCAGAAGCGGCGCGGCGTCTTTGCACAAAGCGTGTTGCGAGCCTAAGATGAACAAAAGGGGACCCAGTGAAAACAGAGACCCCAGGACCCCGGAGGGCGACGCCGGGGCCGGAATCAAGGACTGCACCTGGGCGAGCCAGCCCGGCAGGGCAGACGGGGCCCCCGAGCCCAGCTCGCCACAGACGCACGTCGCTGCGCACGCAGAATGTTTAAATCGGAGCGAGCCCAGATTGACGGGGAACCATCCGATGGGGGAGGCTGGGTACGGGTCCTGCCCAAACAATCCGCAAAGCTGTGGCGGGATCGCGAGAGTCAGCTGCAGTTCTGTGGACTGTCAGATGCCGGGCGCTGACGCCGACCCGCCCGCTGGACTCACGCACTCGGAACTTTCTGGGGAAAGCTTGTTGATAAAAACACTTTAATAAATAGAGCATTAAATTCAGAGCCAGTGCCTCAGTTGTTCCCCTGGAATGGCAATAGAATCTGGAAGTTCAGAGAGGGAGCCCACAAGTACAGGCCCGAGAACGTTTCACTGTGTTAAAAAATCGTGGGCCAGTTTTACGTTCTGCACGAACCGTCAGCGATCTCGTATCTAATGCGTGGTGGCTAGTGGTTAGATTTTACGTTTTCAAAAATACGTCTGTTTTTTACGTGTGTACCCAGCTTTAAATATCATTCTCTCTCCCCTCCCGTGGTGGGAGGCGGATTTAGAGTGTGAATGGCCCAGAAGTTTCCGTTTTCCCTGGCAGTCAGGTTTACGGGACAGCCTTATCCCTGTGCAGGTGGTCGTCAGGATGTGATTAGGACATTTGATCGTGCGGCATAAATACGCATTTTAATAGCATCACTTCAGATGGGATGCAGGAACCAAACATTAAAATTTGTATTTCGGGTGAGGCCTCGTTTTAAAATTAGTCGCTCATCATTTTAATAGTGCATTCCACCTGTCTGCACGAGTACACTTTGCGCGAAGCCACTGACACATTTATACCCAAATTGGTATCTGTTACCGCATTAGCCAGAATGCACAGTTGTTCAGTGAATGCCTATTAACCCAGCAGTCACAGGCCTCTTCTCGTGTCAGGTGACAGTTATGTTAGTGCCACAGAAGGACGAGCACAAAGGAAGAGATGTGAGCACCCTAAAAAGCACTGCACTTAGGATAAGTCACATGTTGACAAAGGTGGGCCCAGGTCGGGTGCCTCATTGCCTTTGAAGCAGTCGGAGGAGGGGACCGGGCTCTCCGAAGGGCTGCTCCCATCTGTGCCCCGAGGGGACACGTTCAGACCGCCGCATTCTCCTGTGTGAGTGTCTCAGGATCTGCCAGGGTGATTTCATTGTGCAATTCACACCTGGAAATGCTGGTAAGCCTTCAGGCGGCATCTTAAATGACACTTGTGTGCCTCGTGTTAGTTCAGTCTTCAGTAACTGAGCTTTCTGGGTCAACTTCAGATGACACAGCCGTCCCTGCAGAGTGTCATCTGATACCGTGTGTGCATTCC